GTGTTGGAATACACTAAGCTCAGCAACTATTAAGGGAGTCTCCACACGTGTGTGCATCATTTTTTCTCAGCAAAAGCAATATTCCTAAGTGAAGGTCAAATCAGCATGACAAACATGGCTAACTTTTGGTTCTCAATCATGCCAGGCAGGAGAAACTTGCTTGCTTGAAATATAGTTAATCTCACTCGCAGAGGCCAGCATTTAATAGCAGGCAAACTTGGCAGGTAGAAATTATAAATACATTTGAAATTTTTCTCAGCTCGTTTTACCCACCAGGGGTTGCTGTGATTTTCAGGATAATTTAAAGATAAGGCAGCAGGTTAGAAAATGAAACGTTAAAGAAGTTAACAAAGAAACGGCAGAATATTCCTTTCTCCCCAATAAATGAAAGAAGATGCACACGCATGCACCGCACATACATGGCAAATAACAGTCTCTCTTTCTTCTGGCTCTTAAAGAAATGAAGGCATGAAATTAATAGAAAACCTTCAGTTTTTCAGGATCTTTCTTAAGTGGAATGATGGCTTTATAGGCCACTTTGCATAAGAAAAAAAGAACATCAGGTGTCAGGAACAGAAAAGAACTTGTAGGCCAAGTCTCTTAAAGAACAGACCAAACAAACCACTGATTAAGTAGCATAGTTTTCATTTCAAGTGCAGATGCAGACACAGCAGTTTCACCTTCCAATTCTACTACCAACACTAATCTCAAAAGTATCTTCTGCAAAAATGTTTCTATGTGAACACCTCTTTAATAAACTCTTACCCAGCCAGGGGTTGAAGACATCAAAGGCTCTTCCAGACTGGGATTCTGGCAAGATTACCTTTGAAGCATAGTTCTTTTGGTAAAGATACTAGAAACAGCTAAATAGCTGTGATGTTATTACATAAATTCCACTCATTTGATTTTCAACCCAGCCTGCCACAGACAGGAAGAAGTTTGGCTCAATGTGCTGCTAAACTTGTAATGCTATCAGTTACTCAGGAGGAAGGACAGGGACCAGCAAATACAAGAGTTCAGCACAGTTCTTCTAGGTGGCAGGTCAGGAGAAACCACCAGGAAATGGATGCTATGGCCTTCGGAATGGCAGAAGGTCACATCCTAGAGACCATCCTATATTGGGACTTCCTGTATAACTGCTGACCACATGCTCCCTTGGCTTGTAAGCGTTAAGACTTTACAAGAAGCTAATGATAACAAGGAAGTAAGGAAGATTTAGCTGTCAGAAAATAGGCAGTGCTGTGTAGTTAAGAAGGTAGAGAGCTCATGAAATAGCAGGGCTTAACAGAAGGGAGAGGACAGTTTCTCAGAACAGGAAAACAATAAACATAGTTTGTTTTCTTCAAAGGAGATAGAACAAGACAAAAGCAGGAAGTGCTGTCCTTCCTTCATCCTGCCAGATTTTCAATGGAAAGTCAAGTGTGTACATCAATCATGATAAGGGGGACGAGACCAAAGTGATACCAACTTCGATTTTTTGAAAGGAAAACACAAAGATGTATCACATAATACACTGTTCTTCATTGTGCTTTTGCAAATAGTGCAGCGCATGCCACACCATGTAGTAATTCCCACTGAAATAGCCCCATGCACGCCAAACATGACCTCGCTTTAAACTTCCTGTATCAGTCCTGCTCCTTAGCATGCTCAATCAAGGCAGGCATTTGGGCTATAAAAAGAATACTATTCCATATTTTTCCAAAGCAAAGATTCTGCGTCCACATGACTTAGGTGCTTATAAGCTCTAAAGACCCTTGCTTTGCTGTGGTTACAGAGAATATTCCACATGTTTGGATGGTGGACTGTCGACTGTTTTTGACAGTCTAGGTGTTTCCCAGAAAGTTTTAAAAGAGTGAATACTAACCACATGCCCTCCAAATTTTGTATAAAACTAAAAACAATGAAAACAAATAATTTATTTATATCATCACCCCATAGTTGCACAATTAATTCAATGTGCTCCCTGGTGGGCTCAGCCTATGATGTCATTTCTAGGACAGAAATTGAATTTCACCAAATTCCATTAAATGAGAGTGAAATAATATATATGGCTGCCTCACTTATGAATTTGGTTGTAAAAATTGTGTTTGTAATTCAGTACTTTGGATTCCAGAATATATTTTAAAATAATAAAAAAGAAAACAATCATTATTCAAAAACAGTAGTTAGTCCCAGGGAAGCCTGTATAAAATCCATTTAGCCCTTAATATATTTAAAGTACAGTATCATAACTATAGAAGTGGGGTAATGTGCTAGAAGAAATAATTATAGCTAATGTATATTGAGAACTTACAATTGGCTAGTAACTATGCTCAGAGCTTTGCATGTATTTTCTCTTTTAATCCTCATAGAATCCTTATGATACAGATGAGGAAACTGAGCCTTGGAGTGACTTTGCGACCTGCTCTAGACCACACAGCTAGTAAGTGGTGGACACAGAAGTTGAGTTCTAGGGGTTGAATTCCAGAGACAAGGTTAAGTGTTATTCCATTTGCTAACTTCCAGATGTAATTATCTTTGACGGGAAATGTATTCAGAGTTTTAAACTGGGATAAGACCAGCATCCCTTTTCCCCTTACCTAAGGGGAGGGGCAAAGCTTCTAGAAGGAAGGAATTAGCAATGGAGTAAGGAATTCCAGCAGACATATGGGAGAGGGGTATAAGGACTAGTAGATGGGAACTGGGGCTCATGAGGCTTTAAGTTCCCAGCTGGGGGCTCTGTCATTAGGTTCTTTCACATGCACAAGGGCTGGCTGAAATGTTTCTCTTTCTGTGCAGGGTTTTATTTCTTCCAGAATACACAGTCAAAACTTCTTTCTTGTTTGCTTATCCCTGAAATAAGCACATAGTCCCACTGAGGTTTTCTGAGAGTTTTATTTCTAGCAACCAAAGAACGGTGCAAGAAGTGAAAAGGCTTCTTGCTACACACAGGTGCTGCCGTTTTTTTTGTTTTTTGTTTTTTTTTTATTTCTTTCACTTTGACCCTGTGGAGAAAGACCAAGGTCTTTAGATAAACAAAGGATTGAAAGAAAAACCCATCTGTGTCTTAGAGAAAAAAAATCTAGACTCCACGTTTCTGCGGTGTTTCTCTTTAGGAAGTGTGAGGAGCTTCTGCAAGGAGATGAGACAGATGTTCAGATTCTGCGTTCCGGAATGCTTAGGTATGAAGGAGTCAGCATAGGAAAGGAGGTGGGAGCTATTATTTCTATGGCTTATGTTAATCCTTTTTCTTCCCTTCCCTATTTTTCTACAGATCTCCCCTATAACAGAGCTAGAGAAAAATGGACAAGATGTTGGGAAAGAGAAGGAAAGATAGAAAGGAAATTCTATACCAAAGAAATGTGAAGGAAAGGGAGTCTTCTAGAGAATTAATATATAAAAGAGGTGGTTCAGGAAGTTTGCACACTCACACATGAACTTAAACACAGGGAATAGAATAGTGGGGTCAGAATACAGAGAGACAACTGAGAGGTTGTCTGGTCTTATCTAACCTCAGTGGGAGAACTGTTTTCTGGAGCGATTTTGACAGGTGTGAGGCAGCTGTGTTTGAATATTCTACATAACCAATGTCCTTCTTGGACAGGTCCAATGGTTAGAATGTTCTTACAACATTGCCCTCTTCTAATCATTTGTTTTAGTATAAGCTCAATGAGGGCATGAAATGAGTCTTAATTATTTTTGCATCTTCACAACCTCCAACTTTGTACACAGAAGATACTCAGCAATTTATCAGCTGACTTAATGCATAACTAGATTAATGGATATAAACCGTCCAAAGAAACAGATTACGTCTACTTTCCAATCCTACAATAACTCTCTATATATTTGATAACAATTATGTCTCCTAAACTTTCTGTTCTTCAGGCTAAATATCCATAATCCTCTCAACTAACCCTCACTGTTCTGATGACCTAACTCTACAAAACTATTCCATCACGTGACCTTTATGTGACCTCTGCCACTTCTTAGACAAATCCAAAGAAAATAACAAGGGGTAATTCGAAGTTCTTATATTTGTTTCCCTTTGTTTTTAGCCATAAAAGCCTGTTTGAATTTTCCAGAACCTTCTTAAAAGCATAGTATCTCAATAAAGTAATATTTATTGTAAAAAAATGAAAAAATTAAGATCTCTTATAACCCCAACATTCCAGGTACATTTCCTTCCAGTTCTTTTTTAAGTTTTTAAATGTAATTTGATCATACTGCATATGTAATTTTATACTATACTTTTTAACTTAACATTAAATTATAAACATTTTCTCATGTTATTATCAATTATGTCACAGAAACCATTTAAGGTACCTATTATATTTCACTGCAGAGCTATCTAGTTATTTATTTAACAAATACCTTATAGTTGTATATTACCCAATATATCACAACAATAGGTAGGACCTTTGGGGAAAAAAGTCAACGGACATGAATTTTTTCCACCTCATTCACATCAATTTAGAACATATTACTGTTACTGGGTCAAAGGGTCTATGTTTCTAAGATGACTTTTGAAATTCTCTTCCTCAAGATGCCTATCCCAGCTGTTAAGAATAGGTTAAATTCTCTTGTTCTCTATTACTGTAGCACTCTGTGGTTTCCCATCATAATCTTCAGAACAATTTAGAATATTTAGTTATATTTTTATTTCCTTTTATACAGTAAACTCCATTAAAGTAGATCCATGAATTATTTTGCTGACTGTGCTTTGCATAGGGCTTGGCACATAGCACATACTCAATATATATTTTATTGGATTAGCTGAATACTGTTCAACAATCATTTATTGTTAAACGGTGTTTGTGCCCCAGAAGCACTGTTTACATATACCCAACTCATTACATCAGCGCCTTAAAAGTATGATATCCCAAACAGGGTAAAATATTCCGAGTGTGCCTCAATTTTACAAACAAAGCCTGTGATTTAGAACTCATTTCTCAGCTATTATGAATTCACTGGGTGCTATATTCTGCATTGAAAATTCAGTGAGACTGAGAACTAAACATTACCAGCTCTCGGGGCAGAAAATTTCCCTCCTGGCGGGCGATGACCAGCGATGCCGTCTCTCCTTGCTTGGTGCTCCTGAGCATGGCCACGAGCTCTTCCTGCGTTCGCCCAGTGACGTCTCTTCCGTTTACCTAATGAATGAAATCACAGGAAGGGCAACAGTTACAACACTTGTTATCTTCCTCTACCCTGGATGGTTTTTGAAAGTAAGCAGCAAATGGCCTCCCATGATCAGTGAAGCTCTGAAAAGATGAAAACTAAACACACAGGTGAAAACCGACCGTGTTTCCAATAATATACAGACTATAATAGTTACAATGCTGAAAGTCAGAAAGTCAGTAATTAGTATCAGCAGCTTTTCCTAAGACATCACATTGTTATGAGGGGAAAATCAAACTGACCAATACCAGAAAATGATTCTTCAAATAGGTAGGAAAAAAATCTCAAATGCTTATACCTGCAACCATTTTTTGCCCAATACAACAAGCAGAAGTGAACCATTATCACATGGCAAATTCCTCCAGAAATATAAGTCTACTGACATAATGCTATGATTTTCTCTATGTTTAGAAAATTATAGGCACAAAATTATCACAGATCATTCAAAGTTCTAATTTGGAGCTTCATTAGTCATTTGCTACATCTTCTTTTATGATCTAGAACAACATAAAAAGCTACAGTGTTGCTTTCAATGAAGATTTCCTCAAAAGTGAATTAACAATTAACAATATGTAACCATGAAGATGATGCTCTTAAACAAAAGTAAGTGGAAAAATAATAACTCCCTTGCCTTGGGTATCCCAAATATGTCTCTATGCAAAATTCCTTACAGGTGTTTCCATTGCTAGCCTAGCACAGATGCTGCTGCTCTGGACCAGGCATAGATCAACCTGCCACATACTGGCCCATCCTGGCAAAAGTTGAAGGGAACTGTTACAAAGGCTTGGGTGTGACTTTGGAATTCTTAGCCCTAACTGAATATATATGGAACTCCTAGATTCAATCCAAACTTGTCAGGAACCCTAAGAGGTAGAAATAAGAAAAAGATGGCAGGGAAAAGTTTTCATGATTATTTGGCCTCATATTACTGACCTGAGTGGAAACTTACAAAGTCAGCCTACTCATTAACTAGTTCTGTACTTAAAGTCCTTATCTTGTCTGTGAGTGACAATTTTCAATATATTGTACTCAAAATATAAATGGTAAAATATGTCCACATATTTATTTAAATACCAAGAAATATTTTATTGACGATATTAATTCTGATTCTTACCTCCAAAATTCTGTCTCCTGATTGCAGGCGTCCATCTTTTATTGCTGCTCCTTTTGGTAAAATGTTTTTTACAAAAATGGGACCAGGACCATGTATGGAAGAATCTCTGGTAACCACAGTGAAACCCAGTCCTTCAGGGCCTAGCGTATAAAAACAAGAAAATGTATAGTCACCTTGAGCATGAGTAATATTATAGTCAATCTTATAGTAAACTCTATCTAATTTAGGCTAATATAAAATAAGCAAAACATTCACATTCCAGGAGATTTTAAATATGCTTCAGTTATTCCGGTTTCAAATATGGATTATAGTTTCTGACAGGTCACGATGGTTTCACAGTGTTTTTAGGGCCTATGCAGATATGTAACACTTTGGCTTATTCGGGTTCTAGGAGAAATGCACGTTGTCCATTAACCCAGGAGACTGATTTCTTATTAAACCATAACCTTACTTCCTACCTTCCTGAAAAGCAAGAGGCCACCTGACGTGAGTTTCGTTGGCCTCTCTGCCTCAGCCAACCAGCCTCACTGCTCCAGTGTGTCTTGATTCCTAGCCCTGCTGCCTCCCACTGTCCCATCGGCAGGAGTCGTGCTGTTCCTGCCCCGCTCTCTGGTATCTCCAATTTCTCCCTTCTGGTGTGTTTTTCACTGGGTCTGAAGATATATGCTCAGATTTCGCTACCCCAAAGGACCCTTACTTCAAGCTTACTGCTTCGTCATGCTTCTATCAGCGGTGACCTGTGCATGACCACGTTCTTGACACTTGACATTTTTTCCCCCTTGACGCTTCCCACAGGTCATTTTATTGAACTTCACTCCCTCCTTGCTTTTCCTGTCCTTATTTTCTGATTATTTCCCTACCTGTCAGATCACATCACATCCATCACTCTCTCTCTTACTGATTGTCCTCCCCTGTAATCACAGATGTTCCCCAAGGATCTATGCTGGGCCAATCGGTCCTCTAGACTCCCCACTGTGGCCAGCTCCTGGCTCAAACTACTCTCTCTCTCTATGGAAGAGACCTAAATCTCTTGCTTTGGTCTTAAGATCTCTATCTGATGTCAGCCTCCTAGATATTGCCACACATATTTCAAATATGACTTCATACCTCGCCCTTCTCTCATCCAGATCCTGACCTTTTCAAATCCTCATCTATTTAAGATTATAATTTCTAGCAGCAACATCTCCATTTTGCAAGTTGTTCTGGCTGAAAACCTCAGCAGTAACTGTAATTCTTCTCTTTTTTCCTCCCTACAACCAGTCCTCTATTAAGGCATACATATTATATTTCCACATCCAGACAGATGCCATGCACCCTTTACTGATCCTTTGTTGTGTGGTCTCTTCTTCAGTGTATCTTTTTGTTGTGAGATTAATCTTCCCAAAGTACAGCTGTGATGTCATAGTCTTCATTTTTGCATTCGAGGCTTTCTGATGGATTTTTAAGGTGATTCTGTATCAGAGTTATTTTCTATCCTGAAAGCATCCAAATCTGTGTCTTACACATAGATGGATAATTTGTATGAAAAACACAACTAATGCATTTAAATACAAAACCTAGTTGGTAAGCGCACTGGAATATTGTGCCTTCTAGTCAGTACATTTTCTTCCCAGGATAGAATTCTTACAGGTGAAAGAAATTTTGATCAGAGAATCTTTTCAGAATCATTTCCATATCCTAATTAAAGATATATATTGTTTTTGAAACATGTTGTATGTTCATAGGTATTCTAAACTACCTTGTGACCTTAAATTCTCCATTTATTCAGAAAAGAATCTATAGGACCTCAGTTTTTTTGAATTATCTTGAAAAATGCAGAATTTAAGAAGGGTGCAATGGGGGAAGGGAATATCAGACAGAGGTTATAAAATGAACAAAAGCACAGAAGCACGTGAATGCTTATGTGTATGTACATAATGTTGCATAAATATGCATGTACACACATGGCCTATTCTCACTCATCTGTCCTTGAAATAGAAAAGTTAGAAAAGATGAAGAAAGGAAAGATTGTATATGCTTTTCAAATTAGGTATGTTTTGGAAAAATGTATGCAATGTTGAATCAGTGAAATTAATGATCATTATATATGTGCTTTCTGAGGATTAAAATTTTTGCTATTATAGCACTGTCTTAAACAGACAAATATGATTTTTAGACTCGGCCTAAGGGCTGGTTGCTTCAAAAATCACTAATTGTGACTCAAAACAGGAAAAACTGAATGTTAGTGCCTATTTAGTATTATGTTGTAACACAATATTGCTGTTACTATCAAGTTTGCAGTGATTTTTACCACTCCCCTTCATGTCTTTATTATTTTCTTGTTTCAAATAATCTATATTCTCCAGAAGAAAAAGAAGAAAGTACTACAATTTCAAGAAATTTAAGTTACCTAAGTATACACTTAAATCTATTCTTTGATACAATTAAATGAAGGGAGAATTAACTAAATTAGCCTTAATGCATTTCTCTTAACCAATTTTACATGATACAATAATAGAATGCTGTTAAGCATAATTTAATAATTACCTTTCTTTAGGTCAATCTTAATTTTCTTTGCATTTTTCTTGCTGCCAAATCCCATGAGAGGGGAGAGTGAGGGAGAGGATGGTTTTCTTCCAAGTCTTGGTACTCGGGGACTCTTGTTTTGTTGCAGAGAAGTTGATGCATCTGTTTCAGGACTATTTGTTCCTGGGAGATTAACTGTCTTTAGTCCAGATTTTATATGGATGGGAGGTGGCACCTTTGTTTTCAAAACGCCATCATTGCTACCAAAAACGTGAAGGGGTCCAATGACTGATTTTTCATACTGTTCACGGTTTTGAGGTGGAAGCACATGGAGGACCACACTTGGGGACTTCATCGCCTGACGGAAGACATCTTGAGCCCTTGAAAGAGAGTTAATAAATGTACAATGATACCATGTTGCAAAGCACCACCTTCTAAAGTACCAGGGCATGGTGGCAACCAGGAGTAGCACAGTAGCATAAGCATAGGAGACACTATTAATATTGCTGCCAGCATGAGTACACACTAGTTACCACTTACTACCTGCCCACTAGGTGCCTCTGCACTGGGTTGCATTTATTACCATCCATGATTCTCATTTAATCTTAACAAGCATGTTAGGTTAAGTGCGATTAGCTCTCATTTTGCAAATGAGAAAGTTGAGGCTCAGAGAGACTAAATAACTTGTCCAATGACCCACAGCTTTTATGTGTTTCTAAATCTGAAAATCTAACCAGACTGATTACTGAAATAAATATTAATATAAAAAGCAAACTAATTATAGGTGGGAAAAATCATTTGATATTTTAGATCAGATTATCGGTTAAGTTCCTTTTAGGACTTCCTTCTAAAGTACGGATCTTCTCTAACATAGATTGTGTTATGGAAGCTCAATTTTGACACTAATGTGTCCTCATGGAAACATTTTGGTAGGTGCTTTGGCTGTGCCTAAATGTCCCAGTGGGTTGTCAATCCAACCTGCACTTTTCATGTTACTCTGTCATAGAGTACTTGTATTTTCTACTTTTCTGTTTTCGTACTTTGTGTTCTTAGATTTCCTGCTGCTTTTTCTCACCTTCTTCCTTAGGCCTTTTATGTGCCCTGTGCCTAGGTAAAACAACTGCTGTTCCCAGTCTTTCTTGCCAGTGAATGTAAGTGGAAGAGTTAAAGGAAAAGCTCTTTAAAGGAGGCTGGCTCAGCTGGAAGGCAGAAACTTTTCTTGTCCTCCTATTTCTCGAAACTCTGAAGTCATGAAGGGAACTCAGCAACTATATTGTGACCACGATTCAACTTAAAGATAGTAGTCCCGTGAAAGTGGCAAAGCAGAAAGACAAAGATGCTTGATTCGCTGATGAATGTGGAGCTGTCACACTGTGGACTGCCCACTCCCACGCTTATTTTTCTTTAGGAAAAAAATAATCTTGTTTAAGTTAAGCTACCTTTATTTCAGGTCTTTGTCACTAGCATCCACACCAAATAATAACTAATCATAATTCCAACTGCTCTCTGGGCCCCCAATCTCCTACCCCTAGCCCCCTTACAGAGGACTTAATTCCTCTCATGGTTAGAGGAGAAGATTTCACATAGGCCATCCAACTCCTCTGGCCAGTTCCACTATGTTATTTTTGCTTGACTAGGAATCAGTTTCTATTCCATTCTGACTCCATACTCAATTTTTAAAAGCTTCAGTTTCCAGCTCTATAAAATAGAAGTGATAATGTCTGCCTTGCATACATATTGAGTCTTTGTGAAAAGCACAATAGTATATGCAAATAATATCATCACTAATAATAATTATAGTTTTGCCTATCATTATTTCAATAGATTCTTTTAAAGCTTCATTTCTTTCCACATTTAAGCAACCAATGCCTACTTGCCCTCTACCTACAACCACTCATTCCATCCTCCATTTACACCTGCAGTATTGACAACTAATGCCAAGAGAGAACATGTGTTAGTTCTTTTGGTGAGAAACAAGACAGGCTGGTGATGATCACTAAGGAGTATTAGTTCGTGTTCCCTTGTTCCATAATCCTGCTGCAATGCCAACACACCTTTTAAAGATATATATGAATCAGACTACTACATCCTCTAATTCTTCTGTACAGGAAGCTATTCCTGTAACATTTTTAGATGCAGAGAGATGATTTCTTGAGGGAGAATTTTTTTCTATTTGTTTCTGTTAATTTTTTTCTATTTGTTTCTATTACTCAGTGAGTCCTCACAGACATTGCTCACAGATTTTTCAGGTTAAGGAAGACTGCTGACATCAAGTAAGTTAATTAATAAGCTGAACTAACAGTCTGTGAAAAGAGCCATTAAATACCAGTCTAACTGACCCATAGCTCAAGAAAAACAAACCCATCCATCGGTGCCCCCAAAAGACAACCAGGCAAGAAGGCTTGCTGTATTCTGTGGTTTACTGTTCTCAGAGTTGTCAGAGATGTGTTTGGCCACCTTGGAGTATGCTAAAACATAAGATGCATTCGAAAATGGACGTCCTGGGGTCATTCAAAGGGAACTGACCAGAAATTCTACCTACACTTTTGATCATAATGAGTTCAGCAATGATTATAACCATTCTTGGGATCAATAAAGTAAATAAAACAATGGAAAAATGCTTACTGAGCAAAGGTTTTGTCTACAAGATCCACATTGTTGATTTTTACGATACATTCATTTTCATGAAATAGTCCCTCCCGCTTGGACCTGCTGTTTTCTTCAATGCCTCGGATGAAGAGTCCTAGAATCCTAAATGCAAAATATAGGTTGAAATAAAATTACTGAATAATAATATGCTAATTATTTCTCCACTTGCAACTATATAGAAATAAGTATTGATTTCTATTTATGAAAGAAATCATCCTTTATATTCAGGCAACTCTTTGTTATTTAAATCCTTACTCCAAAAAAAAAAAGAGAGAGAGAGAGAGAGAAAAGAAAACAACTCATGGTAAGAGAAAAAGCCCTTAAAGACAAATATTTATAAATACCAACCCAGAAAACATTAATCTGTGACTCTATTTCTCTTGTTTGCAGTAAACTTAGAAAAGGCTAGTATAGCTTAGCAAAGTTGAAGACACCAAAGACTTGTGGTTTGGAGAAGGATATCACAGCTGACCACAAGCCTGAGTTAGTGCCAAGGTGGTGACCTGATGTTTAGTAGCGGGAGAGGATTACATATTCACAGGATTTTTTGCAGTCTTAATATCTCTTCAAATAATTTGCATTTTACGAAGTGAATGAACAGTTAAGCTCAGATCATATTACTTAGAAGGAAGTTCAGTCCCATTAGTGAGTGCCACCGAATCAAGTATGTGTTGGGTGTTTTCTGTGTGCTCAGGATGAAGGAGCATAAGACAAAGTCATAGGACCAGGACCAGGTAAAGTGGTTAGTACAGGTTGAGGGTACAGTTGAAATTCAAAAACTAGAGACATCAATAAGCCTGGAGCTATCACAGGATTTGAGAGCCAATATGGGATAGGAGACCAGTGCCACAGAAAGGGGCTTTACACACCATCCAATGACCTTAATCTTATGGAGCTGGAGCAGAGTACCTACCACCTACTGCTTCTGAGCAAGGCAGTGACATGATCAAGGCAGGGATTTGGGAAATATCTGAAATTTCAAACAAGAGGCTGGATTTGGAGAGGATAAGAAGGGGCTCCTGGATTTTTGTGGCTGTGGCTTGGAGTTAGGAGGGTTCGAAAAGAAGGAAAGGAGAAAGGGAACTACAGCTCTAAGAATTAAAATACAGATATGTTATATATGTGTGTGTTTGCATACTGTGTGTGTTCACACATTGTGAACTGTTTAGGACCTTTATGTATTTATTTGTACTTAAAGTAGCCCAGAATAGACCATCTTTCCTGCCTAAAGGACCTCCCCTTTTCCCAACCAAAGCCCCAAAGCTTCTGAGAAGAACAAAAAGGATCCCAGGAGACCACAGCAGGATATATATACACACACACCAAAAATAAAAGAAATGGAACATGTATATTTTAGTTATTTCTCATTTGAGGAATTTCCATTCTTGTGACATGACAAGGTCCTAGCCATGTCTCAGAGTAAGAAAGATATATCCTCCAAGAGGAGTCTGCTAGGTGTGGAGAAACTGTGATCTGCCCCTTCCCAATCCCCTTGTTTTTCTACTTTGTCACTCTTTTGTATAGAATCCCTCTGTGCTATTACATAGTACTTCTGCATTGAATTTCAAATCTAAATAAAATATGAGCACATTTATATGTGAGTAATAGGGTCCGCCATGGAGAAAGGGCAGTCTACAATGAAAGCGTTGGAGAAGGCGGTCCTCTTCTTTGGAGTAGCCACAAAGTCACCGAGCTTCTACCTCCAGGGCGTCAGTTTATTTAATGAGCTCATGTCATTCTCAAGACATCAACGGGCAAGGCACATGCAGTGATATTTAGGTCTCTACTTCAAAAACATTAAATGAATACAGTGTGCTACAGCAGGAGAGAACAGCAAATGGTCATGTTAACTCCTGCAAGGCAGCTCAAGTGTGTGGTGTGTGGTGAGGTCTCTTGCTTTATTTAGTAGTTCTAGTAGGTTAGCAAATTAATCAAACATATTCTGTGTTACCTTAATCTCATAATATTAAAAATAAAACTATTTGACATATAAAAATAGATCAAAATTATGTTTTATTTCCCTAAATTAAACAGCCTTCTAAGAGTTCGCATTTTGGATTTTTGTTATGGTGGATTCACAATAACATGATCCATTAGGAGGCTCACATGTGGTTATAAACTAGTTTATGTAAGTGATATTTTTTTAACAAGCATTCAAGTCTTCCTTTAATTTAATTCAGTACATCATCAGTCATGTAATGTTACTCCCTAGGATTTAATTTCACATTTTGGGAGATGAATTAATTCTTTCAGGCCACTGGGTTGCAATTTAGCTGGCATATTACAGCTGGAGTATGCTATGTGAACCTCACTGATCTAAATAACCTAACTTTGCATGAAAAATTTATTGACAGAATAAGCCCAACTGTAAAACCCATGTGTCAGAGGTAATTTTGGTAAAATATAAAACTGACTGATTATATTAGTTTGGTCCCTGGCAACGAACCTCTCCTGCCCTCTCTATTCCGTGGAAGGGATGGAGTCTCTCCAGTTTGATTTCATCCAGCCCGCCATGAGAAGGCTCAGAAAACAATATCTCATTATCCTCTTTGCCCCCAAACTGGCAGGCTGTGGTGGCTGTCTCATTTGAGACCAAGACTCACAGAATTTAAAGATTAATGCTGTTGAGGAGTTGTAGGCCAAGACTAACCAGCTAATTTGCATTAATTAGCAGTGTTAAAGGATGCTGAAATACACGGCTCTGCAGATTAAGATGGGCAACAATTCTTCTTGCTCTTCTATCATTTAGACACCTATACCTTCTTCCCCCCTTCTCCTTGCCCCCTTTCCTATTCCTCCCACAGTATCACATAGTCCCAGCCACTCTGCCAGCGTAGTATTTCAGTCTCAGTATCTCCTCTTCTCACATTCTACGTCAGTCTTCACTCATTCTTCTTCTTTCTGTCTCATGTTTAGCTGTCGTTACTATACAACTAAGGTATATCATGCTATCTTTACTAAATAATAGTTAGATTTCATGTTTTTAATTCTAAAAAACACCCCCAGATATAAAAAAATGAACATTAAGTTGCTTTTTACTTACAAGAACTTAGTTTTCTGTATGCTTATTTTGCTTTGTTTTTCACTGGGAAAGCCAATGGCCCCCAATATAAGCTGCATTCAATTCAACACCCCTGTGCTATGGTATGTAATGAATTCATTGAGACTTTATCTAGTACAGCAGCCACTATATTTTACTCAGGATGTCCTAACTCAGATTAGGTTTCTTATTCAACAACAGTTGTGGCAGCATTTTTTTTTTAAAAGAAAAAAATAAAAAATACTTTGGAGGCAAAGCCAATTACAGTAATCTTAGTAAAGAATTAAATGTAAATTCTCCTTTAAAATAATGACACAAACCAATAAATGGAAGGAAATTAACAGCAAAGTATACCACAATGGCCTTAAGTAAGCCCCTGTGCTCACACAGTGAAACCGTATGGCAATATGAAGTCAGACATATGTCTGACATGCTCTATATGCAGTTGCATCTAGACACATGGGTTGAGTTAAGTGTGCTGTTTCAGCCTGTACTCATTACACTTCTTAACTTTTATTGGCTCATGTCTCCACTTCCATATTATTTTTAATGTTTTTTAATTAAATTTCTTTTCTACAATACTAATGGATACCAAAAAAGTAATATAGCTATTTCAGCAAGTTACTGAACAGTTGACCATGAACTTATAAAACTTCATTTTTAAATCAGGCTTTTTTGTTTTAGCCAAAATAATCATCACACTGATGATTTACACATTGATACATTTTGTGTTTTACAAGGATATTTCATATTTTTAATGTCATTTAATCCCCATAACCTTGATGTACAGTAGGTAGTCACAAGAGGCAAGTTTAGGGGACTTGCTCAAGGTTATAAAAAAGGAACACTGGGATTCAAATCCAATTGTTCTGAATCCAAGTCCAATACTCTTTCTACTATTTTATAAAGCTTATGCTAGGGATCAGAACCAGCAAAGAGAAGTAAGGAAATCTATAAAGTCCAGCGTATTTCTCTCATTTGAAGTGAGTTGCTTTTCCAAACTACTGAAAATGAAGTATGGTGACTGTCACATTGTATATTTCCTCATTTTTGGAAATTAGGAAGATCCTGTGTTCCATTCCAGCTTTGTTAAACTAAAGAGCCTGGTAATTTAACTGCTCTGGTATTTCACAAAGCTGTATCAGTATACTTCTGCCAAAAGCCATTAGAATTTCTCATGACAACTGAGTAAATATTCACCCTGTCTATCAAAAACAACCTCAGTTTGTCCTGTGCCATAACCCATAACATTTATAAACACACTTATTAACACATACAGGAAATTAGACAATAAGAGCCACTAGCTTTTCGGTTCATTTCTTTTTAGGGAACGTTCATTCCAACAGGAGCTTGGCATCAGATGTTATTTGCAAAAAGAAAAAAAGGTGATGACTTTGCAATTACAGGTAGCAGATGGCTACCTGCTGAATATGATGCCAACCAAAATACCATGACTAAATCTGTTCTTCCTGCTATAGGGCAGACTAAACTGGATAAATACTCAGAACCAGTAAATTAATACTATATAGCCTTTGGAAAAATTTTAGTTTTCAAAAGAGCAATGGAGTGAGGATAAGTCAAGAGATCTGGATTTTATGTGACCTTGGGAAAATCAACTGATTTCCCCGGTCTTTGATATCCTAAGCTAAAATAAACCATTCTGCCTTTTCAATAACGTATTTAAGAAAATAAATTTGGTAAATTAATTAAAATCATGTCATATGAATGAAAGACTGATTTTAAGTTTCTGACAACTCATCAATATCAATTTAGTGTTAAAGGTGATCATCATATTGAAAAGTGACCTAATATCTAAAACTAGTTTTGTAACATTGTTATAATTGTGCTAATATTAAACTGTGAGGCACATACTTGAATTTCCATCAAGGAAAAGTTTCATATTCAAAAAAGTTTCATATTCCGTGAAATAGAATTGAATTTCAAGAAATGCTGACATAATCTAAATTACCATTGACCAATATGGACTTAGAAATACAATGTCTTAAAAATTCTAAAAGGATGTGGTAAATTATTTTTAATTGACTAAATTTTATTTTAGTAAAAAATATATAGCAGGATTACGTTTTGCTTCTATCGCTAAAATCATCATATACAGCTTCCAATATAGCTACTTAAAATGTTAGAATATTTATTATTCTAAATTCTACATACCTGAGGAATATCAGGAAATATCAATCAATATACTTGTTGAAGTATATTCTGGAATATTAAAAAATTCAGTAGTGACATTTGTCTAATAGTATGTTAAAATCTTTGCCACAGATTCTGTTTACTATGTGTCACTGACAAGGATACTTTAAGAAAGTATTTATTAATTAATTATAAATAGAGAAACTGTAATTGATTTTTTTTCTTTTTCATTACATCTTAGAGTAAATGATTTTATTTTGTTTCTAACACATAAGTGGCCAACAAAAGTATATCTTGAGGTATCCAACTGAGTAATAGAATATACATGTAATTCTCTTCTGAAAAATATTTGGGAAAAGGAGCTGGGTTTTCATTAACATGAGCTTCTGAAACAAGGAAAACATCTTACCTTCCACTCAGAGATGAAAAGAAGGGCACTACATGTATTCCCAACGGGCCTCCTTCCCCAGAAATCTCTACTGTTCTTGTCATATTACTGGGGCAGAAAAAAAATAAGAGCACAGATGAGTGTCTGCTAAAAACCAGATGAGGCACATTAAACACACATACACACACCTCTCAGGAATATCCACTAATGTAACTTCAACAGCAGAGATGAAGTCAAAGGAGCACATGATTTGCTGGTAGGTTCCCAAGAGCCAGGAAATAAAATGTTTGAAAGACTATCTGATTTCTTTTTACTCCTAGAAGAGGAACAAATGAAAATAACTACCTACAAAAATAACTTCCTACTTAACTTAATCTGCATAAATCAACATATTTTAAAAGTACAGAAAAATAAAATTTTTCCCCATTGAGACACACTTGACAATTACTGTACAGATCACAAAAAACATGGAAGTAAGCAAATCTATGCTTAAGAATAAAGCAGGCTTTTTCTGGAACAGAAGAAAAATAAAACACTTATTAGAAAAAATGCAGAATTATATTTTATAATGGTTATGAAGTCACAGTTGGTATGGGCATGTTCAAACCAATATAAATCAAAACTTAAACTTGCTTTTCAATAAGGCATCAGTTGTGTTCAATGGAACAATTCTAAATTTTTACCTCCTGGGGTTTCTTTAAAGGTAGAAAAAGAGGTTGCAGAGCCTGAAAAAATGTATTTTAGAAAGAAATAGAAAGCCTGACCCGCCTAACCTATCCTAGATTAAGGAAAGGATGAGCGAGAAACATTAACAAGTAGTGTGCATGACTGAAATGCAGAAGGTGCTGGGAGCTTTTGAGTAATAAAGAGCGGAACTAACAAGTTTTTATAAAGATGAAAAATAATAACCGTGAACAATTATTGGCTCCTTTAATCCCAGAGAGAGAAAATAATTGCCAGAGGAAAATGATAAAGTTGAAGAAAACATCCCTGTTAAGGAAATTGTAAGCAGGTCTCTATTGTTTCCTATTTACATGAAAATGACCTGAAACTAGATGTCAAATTAAGAGATACAGCTGCTACAAATGCGTTTCTGCCCCAAATAGAAAATGGTGAAATTTTGGCTCCTTGCTGTAAAGTTGTGAACAGCATTAAGAAAGCAAAATGCCTGACATATTCACTCTGCATGAAGTGTTTTCCAAATTATCAGCAATCTAAAAGAAATACATTAAATATATTGTCATCAGTGGATTAGTCTTATTTTTAATGTGTTTTCTTTGCAAGCCTATTATCATTAGGAACTACAGGGGGAAAAAAAACACATCAGTTTCCAGCATTTGTAGAATATGATGGAATTTCAAATCTGATCATAAATTTCAAATGTTTTGCCCAGATATTGCTGATATACTTAAAGCTTGTTCAGTTAAACGGGTTCTATCAGAAGCCTAGAATAAAAGTTATGAACAAAAACAAATCTTATAGTGATAATATAGAAGGAACTGATTCTTTTCTATATGTATGAGGATATGGACATTTATATGAATGTATGTATATAGACTATCATATATAGATATGTATTATAAATTCTGAATATAAAATGCTTGGTGGGCAGAGAGAGTTGTTTAGCTTTTAATGGAACCCCAAAATAATAATTTTTATATAACATATTTATAATGTGTTTTTAGGCATTTGAGAAAGACTATAAACCTAAAGCTTTTATATTCTAAGTTTATAATACTGATTTAAAGACTTTTAAAAACAGAGATTCAAATCTTGTTTAGCCATTAAATTATTACTCTACTTTTGTAATGTATTTTTACAGTTTTGCACTGAAAGCATAACACAAATCTTTCCTAATAAATGTATCAGGTATCCACATACTGATAGATAGCACACACATGTATTTTTATAGCGGTTTTTGGAATATGAATGTTTAGTCTAGTGTAGACTTCAAGATTTCAGCTTAAAATTTTTAGGATGACTTTTATGGATTCTCATTTTCTTTCTTTTTACAAATATTTCTTTAGCCCCACTCAGAACCCCTCCTCCCTGTAAAACATAATAAATTCTACGTATCATACTGATGCCTACTCTTTAGTAACTATCAATTCTGTATTTTTACATTTACTTAATAAAGTAAATCTTACAATTTATTGAAATAACCATTCTTATTTAAAAATACTAAAAAATTTGGGAGGATGCAGTTTTTAAAGTTTATTTCTACTTTATAAGATTCTTTTTTTTCAGTATTTCAGAGAAAACTTTTATTCTAGCGTTACACACAATAGTCACAATTCTTTGTCTAGAAGGATTTTTGACAAGTGTTAAATTATTATGATAAAAATATTACTATTCCAGATAAAAGCATAAAAGACATTCAATTTTACTGTCTGTAATACACAAGCACTTGCAGAAAATTAGATCTATTTAATAAAGGTAAGTATTATAATTTTTACATTGACCATGTCTCACTATGTTCTTTATAAAATGTTATTCCTTATTTGTTTCAAGATGGAAAGAAGAGCATTTGAAAAAGGATGTCTCATAGATCAGTTCACATATGTTTATTTATTTCAAAGGGAAAAAAATCCCACAGTATTATAAATACTTGACAGAGTTCTGCAAATATCTCTATATACATACCCTTCCTGGACTATAAACACAGCAAGTAGGACTGGACACAATTATCTGAATACATATCTCATAAAGCAAGAGTTTATAAAGATGTGAAAATAGGCTATTAATGCTATTTGTTTAGACAAACTCCAGAGTACAGTTTAGGGACCAGTGAGCAGGACACGCACACATGTATGTTGTGAAGAACAGCACAGTAGCCAGGAGATAAGCTGGAAGAGGTTTAAAAATGGAAAATATTAGAAAATAAGGTGGAAAGTATATTCTAGCAATGGAAAGAAAAAAGAATTGGCAGTTACTTATGAAAAATAGACAAAAAATGAATTGTGTAGTGTAAAGGAAAAATATTTCAGTTATACACAGAAGAAAAATGGAACAATTTCACTAAGATAAAAACAGCTATCTTTACACGACTTTCTAAGACATATGAAAACAAGCAGATAATTACAAAGCTTTAGGCCGACTAATATTAAGCAAGCTAAATGCTCTAAGATCCAGTTGACAGAATTGATTCAAATAATCACTGGAACCAGCTGCTACCCATCTAAGAGTTTTGGACAAAACTATGGGTGAAGCTACAGAATCCGTGGTTAAAAATGAGACTGCCATTCCGGATGATGATTCTGCTAGAGCTGGATGTTAAAATGTATCATTTGGTTTCCATCCAGAAGAAAGACTTCAAGCTTGAGGGAGAAAACACAACAGAAGCTGCAGATGTTTGTAGGTCTAATTTCTTTACCCAAGGCAAATGGATAGCATTTCTAACATTAAGATTTTTCAACTCAGTGGTGGGTCACTCGTTGAGCTATTGGGAACTATAAGACTGAGGGCAGCAATGGGGAGATACTTTATTTCAGAAGAAAAATCATGATTCACATATGTAATTAAAGAGAAAGTGTATCCCAGTAGTGACTTTGAGTCAGGCGTCTGAGTCAGTACTTTAAAATCTAAAGCCTCAGTTTCCTCACTTGTACAATGAGATTAGGGATTTCCCTAATAGAGTTGTTGGCTTTAATGAGAAAGATCATAACACATAGACATTATACATATCATATCTGCATATTAAAAGGTTCAATAACTGTCGGCTATTAGTATGATTATAATAGAACTTTCTAAGGAAACAAACAAGCTTATGGACTAAAAAGGAATAATCGATCTCAAACTCTCCCATTTTTTTCTATTGGATTTCTTAGTAAGACTTTTAAAAAACCCTTAAAAAATCTTTAAAAAATCCTTAAATACTGTAGGATCATAGAGCACATTTTCTTCATGATTAGATTACTGGCATGGGGCAGAGAGAGAAGACAAAGAACTACAACAAATGGATAGAAGGTGTTAGCTGGTGTCCTTCAAAGACTAATCCACAGATCTGTCACATGTAATGGTATCACAAATGTACTGCAGAGGGAAATCACCAGGAAGAGTGTACAGATGTCCCTGAACTCTATTAGATGGTGAAATGTCTTGCTGATGTGAATGTACTGAGTAGAAATGTAACAAAGAATTTGTTGTTGGTGGCAGTGAGATTCACTTACTTCACTTGAATTCAACAAATATTGAGTCATTTCAATGGGGAGGTACTGCAAGGAAAAAAACAAAGACCAATGCTTGAGGTGTTCATAATCTAGGGGCAGAGTTGGTACAGGTAATAAATAATACAAAGCAATAGAATAATAGCAGTAATAGTACTCGTAGTATATTTTCAATAAATGCAAGTTATTATTAGGGAGGCAATGTGCTAATTGCCTTTTGGGCCTTATATCATGTATTCACATCAAATCTATACAGTAAACATTCATATTACTTCCATCTTAGGGAGAAGTAAATTGATGTTTAGAGAGGTTAATAATTTGTTCAACATTGTACCATTCATATAAGGTGAAATCAGGACTCAAATTGGGATTTACTGCGCTCCACAGCAGGAGTTTCTAACTACCTTCACATGTCAGTTTCAAAGCAAAGGCACCTACTGATGTGATTCAGAGGAAAAGGGTACAAAATCAGGAAGAGAAGCTGGGATGATGAAAGTCTCCCTGAAGGAGGTGGCATATGAGATGGGACTATGAAGGACAAATGGGATTTCCATCAGAAAAGGTAGGTGGTGGGGGAGTGGGTAGAAAGGGCTTGCATAGAAGAGAAAGCCATGTGCATGGAGATATTGCACCAGGATGGGTTGTGGACACAGAGATTGGCTGTGATATTAGAGAGAGAGAGGAAAGGCGAGAGGAAAGAGAAGAAAAAAAAAAGGAAGGAAGAGGAATAAGAAGACGACAAGGAAGAGGAGGAGGAAGAGAAAGAGGAGGAGGAGGAAGAGAAGGAAGAAGAGGAGAGGGAAAGGTGGTGTATGTAGAAGATGGATTGAACCATTTGCTTGAGATCAAATCTCATAGTGGTGTGTCAAATTCCAGGCTGGAAAATGTACATTTAATTTGTGGGAATGAAGTCATTAAAGGTTTTAGAACTAAAGAACAGTGTGATAAATACAGTCGTTCAGAAATATTTATGCAGCAATATGTGGGATCAATTAGAAAAAGGAGAAGATAAGGGCGAGATTGGTACTTGAGGCAAGAGTTAGTAAATTATTGCAATAATCTAGCTGAGATAAATAAATAGAGGCTTGAATGATAATTATAGGAATAAAGCATGAAAACACGGGGAAAGGTTCAAAATATTTTGTAGTGGACTGCAAATAATTTGCCAAATGAATGGATATCAGAGGCAAAGGAGAAGATAGGATAAAACTTGATGGCAGTTTGAAGCCTAGAACAAAAGACAAGTCTGAAGGAAGTTCATTTGGGGAGGTGGGAATCCAGAGATAAAGTGGGGTCAGGAAGGAGTTAGGGATGAGGTGAAGGACTTTTGCACACATTGCTTGCCATTTAAAGAGAAGCTCAAAGTGTTATTCTTTTAAAAAAGCTAGCCAACAGAACTCTTTTGCTTTATTGTCTTTTTAAGATCAAAGCACACTGAAGGATGTTTCCTAAGAGACGTGCATTGTAAGACTATTTGGAAAATGTTATTTTTCTTTAAAGAAAGGTGTTTGCATTAATAATAGGTGAGTGGTTAATAGTTATGCTTATGATTTATGAACAATGTGTTATATTCATTCAGTCATTCACTCAACAAATACGCCCCATTAAGTTTTAAAACCTATATTAGATGTCAGGGATCCTTTGGAGGGTTCACATTTTGTTTGAGGGAATGACAAATAGGTACAACAAACTGTAAAATGTGTAAAAGCAGTAACAATAATGGCAACAGCAATTTATGTTCAACCAGCTTTTATTTTAACATTGTGCTAAGTCAGTTGCCTATAATATATCTCATTTAATCTTCACAAATATTCTAGGTGACCATGATACCTATTTTCCTACGAGGAAAACATTTTAAAGAGGTTACATAATTAGCTCAAGATTGCACAGGGAGGAAGTGGCAGTGCCAGTGTTCAAGTCCAGGACTTACATGAATCCAAAGGTTTCAGAACTAAGAAATGGTTTGATAAATTCTGGGGTTTCAAGAATTTTATCCAATAGTAATATGTGGGATCAATTAGAATAAAGAGAGACTGATATTTGAGAGAGGAGTTAGTAAGTTATTGCAATAGTCTAGCTGAGAGGTAACAAATGTTTAAGCAATAATTATGGGAATGAAACAGGTTAAAGACAGTTTGAGATGGACTTTGCTGATAATTTGCACAGCTTCTATGCCACCTGTGTGGAAATTTGCCAAAACTCCTGTGCATAGGCCATGTTCTGTGGGATATCATATCACTCCCTTGCCCAGGAGAACACTGACCATGCAATTCAGCTGTAAGTGGCCTCCAAATTTCTCTTTAACTGTTTTTTTTCATCATTTCCTACCAGCTAAAACCAATGTCCTTCATCTGTAAGCTTTACCTGTCAGTTGTACATCCTGTGATGCTAAGATTGTGCTCATCCTCTTCCACTACAGAATCCGTAAGTGCTGGGAGTTTGCACTCACTCTATTTTCTGAATTTCACCTCAAACTGATTTCAGCTGTGCTTCTCCTAGACTGGCACATGCTACATGACATTTCCTATCCTTGGTCACGTAGCATGAAATACAACACCAAGAAGTCAGGGGAGGTATACACAGTAGAAAATGTTTGAATCAATGGATTTGTAAACAAGAGTGGTGGATATACGTTAGGTCCGCAGCTGTCATTTAATTTCTCTGAAATGCCATTCTTCAACCTACTGAAGGTGATAGTAACACTCACGCCAAAAGCTGTTTTGATAATAAAATAATACATATATACATACACGTATTTTCATTAAAGAAAAAAATATATTTTTAAATTCCTATGCTCTGTTTCTCTCAATTCCCTGTATGTGGAGGAAGCTGGCTACTATAAATTGTTAATGCAACCAAAAACCAATTGTTTACTTTATGACAGCTATCCACATAGCATTTGGTGAAGATACTAGCAAAACTTTGCAAAAGGCTAACATTTAAAAAGCAAAATTAAAGGCAAATAGAGTAAGAGTATTATACTACTCATTATCCCTACCTCCAAAAACAATCTTATCAATCTTCTGAAAAGACCATGCCTTGAAGATTTTCTGTACCAAATTTGTAATACTGAGCAACTCCTTAATCAAAGAAACAGTCTAACTAAAGAGTAATTATGGTCATATGGCCATAAATTATAAGGTAGAGGAGAATCTATACAGCATAGCAGTGTGATAAAGCATGATCACCTATTTCATGCAAATTGCTTGGCACCAATTAGTAACTGACTTAATGAAAGGAATACATGGACTGAACAAATGATTATCAAACTCAGCAGCTTCACTCAATGCTGAAGCCAACCATCTATTAAACACAGAATTATTTTCCTTCTTCCAAATTGAAGCAACTAAAACAAAATGATAATGGTGATAACAATAGAGATGATGACAATAATAATAGCAGCAACAACAGCAAACACAGGACTTGATTCAAACACTGTTCAAAGTGTTTTATAAATATTAACTCATTTAATCTTCACAGTAACCCTCTGAAAAAGGTTTTAATATGTCCATTTTGCAGACCAGAAACTAAGGCAAAGATAGATGAGTAACTTGTCTAAGCTAATAGAACTAGTAAGCAGCAGAGCTGGGATTTGAACCCAGTTAGTACCTAGAGCTGAATTGGAATTCAGTGCAAACGAAAGGAAGTACTGGTGAGCGTAAGAATAAATGACTTCAAATGAGTTACTTTCATTAAAAACATGAAAATTACTGGTTGACAGGATTCATTTTATATACATCAAGTAAAATATTGCAAGATTGTTAAAACATAATACACAGCAGTATTCAAAGAGAAAAAGTGAAAGTAAACCATTCAACCAAAATGAACTCTGAAATGTTCGCTTTAAACTATTGTTGAAAGAGAAGAAAAAGCAATTAAGAAATCCTGGTTGCAGCAGAGTATTGGAAAGATAGAGGATCATTTGTATACATGTTTGTCAGTAAGTTCTCACATCCTAGGAAGGAAATGGAAAAAAAAAAAAAAAGAGTAAGCAATTAATGTTAGAGTTGGAACATATTTCTCTCCAGGATTCTATTTATTTGATCTTATAAAATAAGAACAATTATAAACTATTAAAGAAACAAACATCAAATGGAAATAAAATATTCTTATTTTCATTAAGAGAATACCTTAATGCATCCTTAATTTTGGGCGATGTCTGTAGTTCTGTCTGTACACCATTCATAACTTCTCTGTCTTCCAAGTTCTGCATGGAATCCTGCAGTGAAACAAACCCATAAGCATGTGGATGCCTTACATATTGAATTGAAAATCTAAATAAAATGTTTCAACATTAGAGTAAATGATTTTACTCTGGTTATATACAGTACGCTCCAATTTCTTTGAAGACTGGAAACAGGTGTTAATCTTTTCAGTGCTTTCAATGTTCTTTTCTCTCCCATTTGGTTTCTGAAATACTCAAATGGGCCATCTACATAAGGCAATATGTTAAGAGCTTTGGAATACATGATCACTTAGCTTCCTGCAACTCAACCATAGGCTTCTGGGATTGAGTGTTTCAAACCAGCAAGGAAAAGGAATACCAAAAGGGAGGCTCCAGTGACAGGTGGTAATATATTAATATTAGCTTTAATGCACTGCACTTGCTTGCATGCCCCATCCCGACACTAAAATATAATGAAAGCAAAATGCATAAAAAATGTTGCCTGGCAAAGTCACTTCTGTCAAAAGTGGAGCAGGAACAACTGCAGGAAGAAGAAATCCAGAGTTCTTACTTTGTCATAAAACTTGATTCTGAGGATGATCTTCCCAGGGAGAAAGTAAAATTGACCATTTAATTTCTAAAATGGTAAACATGCTTTGACTGCAGAGAAGTAAGAGGGTCAGAGAGGTCCCACACTTCAGGATAGGGACATAGCTGAGTTGGATGTTACCCAGAGAAGTCGAGGATAAGATGGATTCTGATGTTGATCCTTCTTTGTGGAAGACACTGGTTCCCTGTTGAGCCTTGCAGCAGCAGTCCCTTAACAGGCAATTCTGTGCCCACCCCACTCTTCAGAAGCAGTCACAAATAGTCATAAACTTTGGTTTCATGGAAGCAACAAACCAACAAACCACAAGAAAGACTTGTTAGCAAAAAACAGACCTATAAAACAGAGGTTTCATTGATCTGGATTTTTCTAACAAAGACAGTAAGACAATAGATGAGCTTAAAAGATTGGAATACGGAAATTAGGTTAATGTCTAGAAGAAAATAAGACACAGAGCAGCAACTGAAGCACTTTGTTATAGTGAATTGAGTGAAAAAAAAAGTCTCTCACTTTTAGACTGAACAGCAATGTTTCAGAAGTAGGGGTTAGTGATTTTGAGAAAGATTTGAACTACACTAGATTTGTTTTTTTATTTTTCTCATCTACATATAAAGTAAAGGGGAAAAATTCATAAAGTTGAAGAACACTTCATAGGTTTAAGGCACAAATCTTAAAAGAGTAATGTCTGAAAAGCTTTCAGACATTCATATTATTATGAAGGACTTGATATATTCTTACAGATAAAAGGAGACAGGGCTGGGCAGGTTACATAATACTTAGGTAAATAAATGTAACAAAATACTTGAACCTGACTATTATATATGTCAGAATATTTGATGACCTCATTTATACCAAAATCATTAACTTTCTTATCTGTCTCTCTTACACAGGAGTAAAATGTGTCTAGTTTTCTATATATCAAGCACATAACACACAAAATTCATTGTACTAGTCTTCTAACATATAATAATCATCCCAAAGCTTAATGGATTAAAAAATAAACATTTGTTATCTCTCACAGTTTCTGTGAGTCAGAGATTTAGAAGTGGCTTAACTGGGCAGTTCTAGGGTTGGATCCCTCATGAGCTTTCAGCCAAGACATTTGCCACAGATGAAGCTACTATTATCTAAAGCAGGGGTCCTCAAACTTTTTAAACAGGGCGCCAGTTCAATGTCCCTCAGACCGTTGAAGGGCCGTTGGAGAGTTCGGCGCACATTCCACACATGTGCACTGTGGGCCTGGGACAAGTCGGCTGCTAAGCAGGACAGGCAGTGGTGGCAAAAAGACCCAGCGGGCCGGATAAATGTCCTCGGCGGGCCGCATGTGGCCCACAGGCTGCAGTTTGAGGACCCCTGATTCTAAAGGATTGATTGGGGCTTAAGATGCATTTTTTTTTTCTAACAACAGCTTTATTGAGATATATTTCACATAAGATTTACCATTTTAAAGGCTACAATCCAGTGGTTTTCAGTATATTCACAGGGTTTTGCAACTAATGCTAGAACATGTTCATCACCCCCTAAAGAAATCCCATACCCATTTGCAGTCAACTCCCCATCCTCTTCTCCCCCAAAGCTTCCGTTAATCATTAATCTACTTTTTGTCTGTAAGGATTTGCCTATTTTGAACAGTTCATATAAACAGAATCATAAGACATGTGGCTTCTTTCACTTAGAATGTTTTCAAAGCTCATTCATATTGTAGCAAGTATCACTATTTTATTCCCCATAATATTCCATTTTATGAATACACCATATTTGGTTTATGCATTTATCAGCTGGTGCACATTTGGGTTGTTTCTACTTTTGCCTATTATGAATAACACTCCTATGAATATTTGTGTACAAGTTCTTGTGTGAACATATGTTTTCAACTCTCTTAGGTACATACTGAGGAGTGGAATTGTTGGGTATATGGTACCTAACTGTGTGTGTAACATTTTGAGGAACTGCTATGCTATTTTCAAAGTGTCTGCATAATTTGTCATTCCTATTGGCAATATATGATAGTTCCAATTTCTCCATATTCTTACCAACACTTGTTATTTTCCTTTTTTAATTTTAATTTATTTTAGCTATCCTAGTGAGTAGAAAGTGATATCTCATTGTAGTTTTGATGTGCATTTCTGTAATGATTACTGATGAGCTTCTTTTCATGTGATTATTGGCTATTTGTATATCTTTGGAGAAATGTCTAATTATTTTTCTTATTATTGACTTGTAAAGAATTCTTGAAATATTCTATAGATACATTTATTATCAAATATATGATCTGAAAATATTCTTTCCCATTCTGTAGGTTGTCTTCACTTTCTTGATGTGCCCTTTAAATCATAAAAGTTTTTAATTTTAATGAAATCCAATTTATTTATTTTTTATTTTACTGTTTGTGTTTTTGGTATTGTATCTAAGAAATGTTGCCTAATACAAGGCCACAAAGATTTACACCTATGTTCCCTTCTAAAAGTTTTATGGTGTTACCTTTTACATTTAGGCCTATGATCATGTTGAGTTAATTTATGTATATGGAATGAGGTATGGATTCAAATTCATTCATTGCATGTTATCTAGTTATGTCAGCATCCTTTGTTAGAAAGATTATTCTTTGCTTATTGAATTGTCTTGACACCTTTATCAGAAAATCAACTGACCCAAAATGTAAGGGTCTATTTCTGGACTGTCAATTCTATTTCATTAATCAATATGTCTATTCTCATGCAAGTACTACATAGTCTTCATTATTGTAGCTTTGTATTAAGTTTTAAGATAAGGATGTGTGAGTCCTACAAATGTATTCTTCTTTTTCAAGATTGTTTTAGCTACTCTGGGTCTCTTACATTACCATATTAATTTTAGAATCAGCTTGTCAATATCTGCAAAAAATCCCAGCTGGGTTTTTGATAGGCATAATCACACTGAATTTATAGATAAATTTGGAGAGTATTACCATCTTAACAATATGAAGTCTTCTAATTCATGAAAAGTTAACAGTGGCAGTTATTTAAAATAAATATTCTTTTGGGTTTTGTATTCTGCATGAATAAATATCCCCAGATGTCAAAGAAAAAAATGGGGATATTTGCTATAAAGTTTCAACTAACCACTGTTGCCACTTTGCTCCCTACTCTAAATGGAGCTTTCTTGTTGATCCTTAACCAAGGTAGGAAAATAACATACTTTTCTGTGCATATTTTCAAATCAACTTTATAGAAAGTTAAAAAGGAGTTTTTCTTCTAGTTATAAGGCAGGAAGAGTTTTAATTTACATCAACAACACACTTAATGCTCTGAGTATATGGAAATGTCAATAACAATATGGAAGTAATATTGGGCCAACTGTGATGTGATAATATGCTAAAGGGTAATTCTGAGGATTTGGAGAAATCATGTCAATAACTACAGACTTCGAAAAGAATACACATTCATGGACTTCTATGTCCAAGACAGATGTTCTACTATTTTTAAGGTAGCATCAAAAACTCTTTGCCTTGCCACACCTATCAAAAAGGGGTAGTAACTATAGTTTATCACCTAAACTAACGAGCAGTGTTCGTGACTTAGCAAAACCGTTTCCATATATTGCTGCAACAGTATTCCTTGATAGTCTCTAGAGATGGGGCAGGTAGACAGATGTTTAAGGCATGTTATAAGGACATAAAGCCAATTTCAAATTGACTTCAGCAACACTGCAGCAATGCAGTGCTTTAATTGTATGGACAAAGGCAGCTTATCTCTTAACAAGGTACATGCAATCACTTTTTCCAAAAATTACAAAGTAATTGGCAAGCAGTAAGTTAAGCTAGATAAACTTAAGCTTTTCCTTCACTAACTTACATGGTGAAATGAAAAATCATGAAATTATATGTCTAAAAATTAAAATATTTTTTCTCATTGCTCATTTTAACAGCTTTGAGAAAAATCTGGAAAATTATGACTTTTAAATTAGGAAGGAAAGGGGAAAAAAATAACCCTGATCATAAAAAACTAGAAGTATAAACAACTCGTGCTAAACAGCCACCATATTTCTTCAACTTTAGGTTTGAGAAATATTAATTGTGATTTCAAATTCTCAAACTTGCCTCTAAAAAACACAAGTTTGGAAGATCTATATTTAATTTTATTAATAAAATTACAATTTCTATTTTTAGTGTTAACTTAGGATACAGGAATAGGATCAGCTGCATGGAACATAAGGTATAAAGCTGTTTCAAAATCTAGTTTGTCTCCTCTTTTGCCCACATTACAGTCCTTTACTCTCTAATAAAGTTCATCAGGAGATCGTGTCTTGACGACTGGGAGGAGACCTTTAAGAAGCTTGTCCTTTACCTCTCTTATCAGAGTAAGGAGCATATCATATGTGGCTCTCACAACAGACAAGTTTAATTACTACAATTTTTAAAAAGTGAACATTTTTAGCAACACTTTCAGGATCACAGGAGCATTTCTGA